TAGACAGGCACACATTCACACACACACACACACACACACACACACACACACACAGAGAGAGAGAGAGAGAGAGAGAGAGAGAGAGAGAGAGAGGAAATGGGAAATGTGGATGCATTGTTCACCCTATATTAACAAGAGGCACATAAGCAACCTTCCCGATGGGCTACAAGTACCACCCCAATTCTCGAGCAGGATAGCAGCTGGCAGAAAAGCCTCCCCAGCAGAGACCAGTGCTCCCTATGGTTAAAATCCATCTTATGAGACCTGACTGCTCGGAGAACAGTTCATGACCTGCAGCTATAGGATAAAGGGAAGGAAGCAATAAAATAACACCGCATAGCAATTTATGGAGCACTTACATAAGATCACAGTCAGAGGCGAACCTGGATGCCAACCGAGCTGACTGCAGTGCCCACGCTCCCAGCCGCTCAGCCCCTCTGACTGGCATGAGGCATCACGGAGATGAAGAGCTGGAGAAAGGCTTCAAAGCACACACTGCTTGTAAACCCATGACCCTGAGCAAACCTCATTCCTGCCTCCGTGCCTTTCATATGGGCTCACAATGGTACCTACCTCTCTGCTTGGGTTTTCTAAGGATTCAAAGGAGTGTCTGAAGCAAGCTCTTGAGACAGCATCTACCACATAATAAAATGCTTCGTTTCATGTTTTCCCAAAAATGGTAATTAAGAAAACGTTGTTGCCGAAGCCCAGGAAACAGAACAGAGCCAGAGAGGGCGCCTGCAGGGAGAAGTTTCTGGACCTACGCTGAAATGATGACCCTACAGCTCCGGAGACATCCTCTTTCCAGTGACCACAGAGGCCAAATGGAAAGGTACGCCCTCAACTGGAACCAGAACTGCAAACACCTGACCCGACCCCCAAATACTGTAGGGAGGGGTAACAGCGCCCAACAGTGCGAGGTAGCGCACGGTAGTTGACCTACACTGTAAAACCCACCAGCCCGTCCACCCTGAACACACAGTGAAGCCCTTTAAGGGCGTTGACATGCTGTGTGTTCTTTCCACGGAAAGAACAAATGGCAAGCAAACGCCTCCGATGCTGCCCGCTCAGCCTTGGAAGGGAGAACCTCCCGTCACTGTCTAATGGAGACAGAGACAGTGACTGATACTATGGGTGTCCCATCCGTAGGCCAGCAGGAGGCTTCTGGCAGGGAAGTTCACTCAGTATCTATCACACTGACCAAGAGCTGCCAGTTCTAGCTGATCACGGCCAAGAGAAGGCCAGGGACACTGGGCAAAGCAGCTTCTTCCGTCTTGAACACACTGCCCAACAGTGAGAGAAAGCAGAGATGCACCTGGGGATAGACGCATCTATTGTAGGGTTTTGACCAAGACGCTCAAGAGAAATGAAAATATGACACTTCGTACAACAGAGCAGGCTTGTGTCCTATTGGAAGTACATCTTTGACCATAGGCCCACTCTTCGTGTTCAATATCACGTGGTAGACTACCTATCAACACCTAGGCTTCCTTCTTTCCTTACTGACCACATCCCAACTGTTTTAAGACCACCGTGTACCCAACTAGGTACTGAAAGCATGGTACAGTGGTAGAGTGCTTGCCTACGACATGTGAGGCTCTCAGTTCAACTCCCAGCACCACACACGCACAGAGAGCAATCTGCGGTGACCAGCGCCCTCTCTAGCCTACAGTGGTCATGTAGCCATTCTGACAACTGAGCTGGAGACCCCATGACTTACAAGGTTTCACATGGAACTTTCACAAGGGGAGCCTTGGCTGTCACTGGGTATCGGCACAGGAAAGCAACCTGAGACAGAACAGCCATGCACACTGAAGTCTTACACCACATGCTAGGCCACAGAGACATCACATGAGACCAGGGTGACATGAGCCCCTGGGCTATCCAACCTCAGACTCTTGTACAAGAGAAAATTAAAACTCACACTTGCTTAACGCATTGGTTCTTCTGTTGAGTGGCTGGCTGGACATGTTATAAAACTTACAAAAAGCCTTTAACCAAGGTGTTCGGTTGGATAGGTGCCATGAACTAAAGAATTCATCTCATGCATACACAACTTTCTAACACACAGAGACAGTGTAGAATAAAAAAAAAAAAACATAGATTCTGGATGGTTCTCTGCCACCAACATGAGAATGCTGTGGGCCTACTCCTGTGTGCATTAGAGTCTCGGTGTAACTCTATGCACCGCCCTGGGAAGAAAATCCCGGGAAAATGGAATGAAACAGCATCTAACCACTTAAGTCAAATACTGCACACCAACCGGCCGGGTGACACCTGTCAAGGTATTTATGTTCTCTGCGCCTAGGTTTCCTCAAGTGCAAAATGGAATAACAGTTCCTGCCTCGATGGTCGTTGTCTTATTACAATGACTTGATACTTATACGATACCTATCCCTGTGTGTGTTAATATTTACCAGGCATCAATTCATATCGTGGTGAAACTGGTAATGGTGTAGTCAAAGTTAATAAAAAAAGCCAGGTGGGCGTGTTTATTCAGCACACTGCATTCTTTCTTAACATGAATCTCTAATATTGACATAAGCCCAGGCTGTAGATGCAGCTGAGTATAGACAGTGCTCTTCACAATGCTCATAACTGCCACACGCACAGTCACACAACATCAAGAGTGGCAACATCTACGTGACAAGCTACTTGTCACGGGATGTATTTACAGAAAGACTAGCAAAGACAGCTTAAAAACAGCCCCTAAGCGAATAAGTAGCATATGTCAATTGTTTATTTAAAAAAAAATCATACCTGTGAGACATTATAGCAAGAAATCGTCACTTAACATGCATGCAATCTGCAAGGACATGCCCCTTGTCATTCAAGAGTTAGGCAAGTATTTTCACTTTTTACCTTTCTTTAAGATTCTAACATGGAATGCATCTAGGTCCTCCTATGAGGTCAAAGGGCACAGAATTTGTAGAATGCTGGTATGTAACTTGATAAGCAAGCTTCAAGGGTCCTGAGCCTCGCACAGCTGTTCATTCTGGACATCCGAAACCCTTTTCCAGATGAAAGAAACCTCAACCAAGCTGGAAGGCCAGAGGCCAAATATTCCCCAAAACATGTTTTAACCTTTCTTCCTTTTAAATCAGTAATAATAATAACAGGATGCGAATTAACCCCATCCTAAGGAAGGATGAAGGAAAAAGGGGGAGGGGTCCATCTATCTATATCGAGGGTGTGACTCACTTCATCACCCTCCTGTTGCCTGTGACCATTTTTCTGGTTGTACATTATCAAGTAGGCAGGCACAGGCACAGGCAAGCCAGGGTCACACCCCCTAGAACAGTACCATTACAACAGAGATAGAATGTGAGCCACAGCATTGGCCATGCCAGTGCAAAAACATAGAGGCCATTAATTAAGAAAATTAAAAAGAGAGCGGCTGGCATTCTATTTAGTAATAAATGTTATGCAAAATACCATCACGTCGACGTGTAATAAACACTAAAGTTGTTAACGTTTCTCGTCCTTCCTCGCGCTGTCTTCAAATGCTAGTGTGTTGCACATGTTGCACACAGCAATTGCGATCAGCCAGTGCAGCCATCTGTGCCATCCCTCAGCAAACTAAACCGGGGCGCCTGGTACTGCCTTGAGTACCAGTTACACTTCGTGTCAAAGGGACTGGGCTTAAAATAACTCTTAAGCCTACTGTTGCTGACGCTGTGGTTTTACTGCGCACCCTGGCAAAGTCACCAAGACCCGTGTCTCTGTATCACAGGGTCCTGGAAATTCTGGCCACTAGGAGTACTACTTCCTAAGAAAGTATGCTGTACCGCCTCCAAGAGAAGATGGGAGCGATGGGAAGGACACACACCGGGACATTCCTTCCAGTGGCCTACATACACTGACTTGAGACGCTGACTTGAGAAAAGACAGGAAGAGTTTCCGTTGTGGCACAGCCATGGGCAAGGGCACTCTGAAAGATGACCTGGACACATCAGCATCACCTACTTCTTATGTCTACTGGGATGAACAGAAAGCAAAGTCAGAGCATTCAGTCAAGTGTGAAACACGCCACAACTCCAGCAGTAACTGCACAGAAAGGGTGCCCGCTCCGCACCTGGAAGACTAAGTAGGAGGAGAGGAAGGACAGTAACTCGAAACGAAGGTTGAAAGTGAGGAGGTGGGACACCCTGAGAGGTTTCAGGGGACTCCTGTTCTGTTGGAAGAGGACAAACAGAGTCGAGCCCCCTCTGGCAACTATCCCTAGTAAGGATGAGAGAAACGAGAAAGTAACAGAGACTCCCCCCTCCCATCCCCGCTGCACTCACTGCCCAGCACCCACTGGGTTTCCTCTTCCCGAGCACCATCCAAAAAGAACTACAGTTCCAGACACTGCTCTCTCTCTCAGGCCTTAACTGGCCTCCAAATGCTGCGCCGCCGCCGGGAGTCTTGACGCCTCTGGAGCCGAGTCCCCGCCTCTGCGGGAGTCCTGGCGCTGGGATTCTCTCAGGCTCGAAAGCCAAAACTCGCCCTCTCCAACCCAAACAGACAGGCTGGACCGGCCGCAGGAGTCTCCTAAGTCTACCTGCCCAGCCGCCCGGCCGGTCACGCCCGCGGGCTGCTCCGGGCCCGCAGCCTGCACTAGCTCCAGCGGCAATCACCCACACAAAGACGCCTTGTGTCTGCGCTTGGGCGACAGGCAGCAGGTCCGCGGGCACCGTACCCGAGCGGGACAGAGAGGGTGCCCTGGCGCCAAATCCCCTAGTCCCGCACGCCCGGCCCATCATCTTTCACGGAAAGGCCACACCACTGTCCCCTGGCTTAAATACGGGTGTCCCGTCCGCGGCACACAACGCGCACCCCCACCCAAAGGAACCGCTCGGAGCAGGCGCACCAGCTAGGGGCGCACAGGCCGCTCGGCAGAAGTTTGCTTTGTCGCCCGCAGGAGGGGCCAAGAAGCACCCCGGAGCCCAACCCCCGGCCCGCCCCATCTCCCGGGCTGCGGGGAGCGGGGGTGGGGGGGTCCTCTACGGCCCGCTCACCTCTAGTCCAGTCCACCACTTGTTTGGGACTCCACTTGGTCACGGGCTCCATGGTAAGCGACTTCACTGCCCGCTGGGCTGGGAAGGCGGCGGCGGAGTGCTGCAGCCTGCGCCCGCGGTTGTCCCCTGCGCGCCCTGGGCGTCCGCTCAAGCCTGCATGGCCGCGGTCAGCGCGCCATCCCGCTGTGGTTCAGCCAGGGCAGCGCGGTCCTGGGCCCCTGCGCACCGGGCAGCTGGGTCCGGTGTCGGCTGCTGCTCCAGCTACCGCCGTCCAGCTGCGGTTCGCACAAGCCGCTCAAGGATGCAGCCGCTCCTCCGCGATCGCCGCCACAGCGGGCGCACGGCTGCGACCTCAGACTCCAGGCAGGGGACTGACTCTTCCTGGCCGGGCGGGACCTTCGAGCTCGGCTGGCCCTCCGCGGCCCCGGCGGGCGGCCTCAGAGGTCCCCCGGGGTCTCCACTCCCTCGTGCGCCGGCGCCTCGAGCCTTCCCGCCAGCCGATCCCACCTCCTGCGCCACCGTCGCAGGCCGCCCGGGCGGGGAAGGACGCAGAGCGTGCGCGCTCGAGTTGCAAAGTTTCAGCTCTGCCCGGGGCTCCCGGGAATAAAAGAGGGGGCGGGGCCGAGCGGGAGCAACACGTGGGAGGGGGCGGGGCCGAGCGGGAGCAACACGTGGGAGGAGGCGGGGCGGCGACCTTGCAGAACGCTGCTTACTTTCTCCGCTGCAGCCCAGCTCGCACGCCCGGGTTGCACTTTTCCTTTGGAGAAGGCGAGGTGATGCGACCGCCTGAGCTCTGGAGAGCAGGTTAGCTCCTGAGAGGTCCCAGCCTGGTGGGAGCCGAACAGTCCGAATCCTTGTGACCAGTTTTTTTTCTTTTGCTTGTTTGGTTTTGTCTGTTTAAGCAAAAACCTGTGTGTTGTCGTTTTAAAAGCTTCCGATCAAGATCTTGCTCAGCCATTCGGGCCGTCTTCATTTTGGGTTTCCTAAAGGAGATCAGTTACGTGTGTCGGACAAGAAGTCCAGTGCACCGACTCTTCGGTTTAGTTAACAGCAGAGTGGCGGTTCTTCGGAGTTGTGTTTTGCCATACTTTCAAAATGACCTAACTCTCGATTCGGATTAGTCATTAACCCTGAGGCGAAATTTGTCAGCGAGCCAAAAAGGAAAAAAAAAAAAAAGAAAGAAAATAAAAATGCCCAAGTTTCCGCCTCTGGCAAGGGGAGGAGAGCCCTTTCCACACTGCAAGCCTCAATTTGGAAGCAGAGCCTGGGTCTGGGGAAAAGCCTGTAACCGGTGTTTACCTCCCCCGGCCCTCCCGGCCCTACCTCCCACACACACGCAGACACTCTTTTTGGCCCCTGTTGAGTCTTCTTTCAATTATAGTTATTGATTTCCATCTTCCCCTTGGCAACTATTACCCCTATCCAGGGCAGAGGCTGCTTGATATTGGGTAGGCAGCCGTGAATCTGTTCTCCTACTTCGACTACCTAGCTCCCCGCCTGAATGAGTGGTTGCCCTTTATTCATTCAGTAAACACCCGCAGATGCATCCTTTCCAACCACTTGCGTTCATTCAATATTTGTCGTGTTGGGATAGGTGCCACTTAGTACATGTGACAGTCAAGACTAGCTAGCACCTGTGTGTGTGTGTGTGTGTGTGTGTGTGTGTGTGTGTGTGTGTGCTGGGTGTATAGTGTGTAAACCACCTTAGCCCTCCTGTATAATTCACCAATACAATAGAGAGATACAACTATCAAAAATAGTAATTTTTTTAAACCAGAAGTAATTAGCCAACCCAGAAACTTGGCAAAGGCCACGAGAAGATTCCTGGTAGAATAGTTGCCCTCTTTTTAGAAATGATCTTTGGCCTGCCTCTTTCCGTAACCATCTTTAGGGCCACAAGAGAGAGAACCATCTTGACCTTTGCTCAGAGGGAACTGTTAAAGACAGTTTCGGTAATCACCATATATATGGTCAGGATGACCAAACAAGTAATTCATCTACAAAACAGTGCTGCTGCTTGCGGAAGGGGGCGCAACAATAACTTGGTTGACATAATGTGAATCAGGGGGGTAGAAATGACAGAATCACAAAGAGAATCAGTGCTGCAGATTTTGTTGTAGAATTTTCCTTGATGTTCTCTAGTGCCTTTGTATTCATTGGAGCATTAAAAGCTGGAATTCTAGAGTCCGGTTTGCAGAATATTGTCTCACGGTCAATACAATCTACCCTCTCGTCGAACGCAGATACAGACTATGCAAAGAAGAAAGCCACGTTAAGATCTCCAACCTGCAAGACCAATTAACCATCTAAATGAATTAGCCATCCATTTGCCCCACCAGTCCGGCAGGCTAATTACTATGTAAATAAGACCTTCTACCTTAATTACAGCTGTTAGCATGTGAAAGTTTTAGGGTGTACTAACTGCCTGCAGAAATGCAAACTTTCAACAGAAAGTTTGGCATATCAAAGAGGTGGAATTTTAGATGAGCAGCCACAGAAATTGATGTGTATACAAGAGAGAGAGAAAACAGTCATTGACACAGTTGCCAGTTTTCTTTCAGCTTGTCCCTGTGGCCTTGTAGCTTTGTCCCCCCCCACCCTTCAGCAGGAGCACCTCCCTCCTCCCCACCTTGACACCCGCCAGGGCTCCTCCCACATAGCTAGGATCTGAACAAACCTTTTGATTTTAACCTGATGCATTCATTACCATTCTGGTCCTAGAACCCATCCTCCTATATTCCTCTCCTTTTCTTTGTGAGCCTCCTTTCGGATTCTGGTCAGTTACGTAATTAACGATGTCGGGAACTCTTGTTACACACTGAACTGAGGAAGATTTAAAAAAAAAAAAAAAAAACACGCAGTGAGCCGTTCCTGGACATCTTGGTACTTTCCCAGGGAGGGTTTCTTCCGTGGCCTTTAATCAGAAGACAAGGCCCAGGGGGAGCAGAGGGACCTGGACAAGGGAGTCTGGGAATCAGTTTCACATTAAGAATTTGAGTCTTTGTTATCTTAATTTGAGAAGCAGAAACTAAGCACTCTGGAGACGTAGCTCGTACTATAACTACTGGATAAACACAGCAGTAAAAGACCCTGCACCTGTCTGTCCCTGCTGCAAAACACTTCCCATAGCGAAAGAAATGCTTCAGTCTCCTCTCAGCTGAGGGACCCTCCCTATGTGGTGATTCTATCATGTTTCTTTCCCGTACTATTCTCAGAACATTTAAGATCATTTCATTTCCTCCCGCATATAAATTGTCTCCTGTTGTCTATCTCTTTAACTTGAAAGGCAGCAAAGGATTCTGCAAATTCCCACCTGTGAAACATCCTCCAGTGGGGGGGGGGGGACAAGTGTTCTTATCTATGACATCACCTGGCTTCCAAGTCATCAGTTAGCTCAATTAACCCCTGCTGCTGCTGAACTTGGCTCCCACCCAATGGGTCTGGATCCTTCACACCGTGGTAATGAGATTACCTCCCTAAATACACAAGCGTCCCATCAGATAATCCAATCCGTGAGATTCTCAAACATTTTTTTCATTGAAATGAACGAAGCCTCACTTGCTTGAAGCCTTTTGATCTTTCCAGAACCTTAATGATATCACCCTGCACACAGCAGGAGAGCTAATGCTGGCCTCCCTCTTACTGACGCCTGTCCATGTCTCACAGACCAGGGAGCATCTTAATTTTAGGCTGGATCTGAGATCAAGTTGCCCAGGCTGACCTTGACCTTGGTTTGTAGCCCACCTGAGCCGTGAACTTTTGATCCTTGGCCTCAGGCTCCAAACTGGCAGGTATTAGCAGTGTAGCCCACCAGGCTTGCTTTCAGTGATGTCTTTCCCAGTGCTTGGGAAAGAACCTGGGGCCTTGCATACACATTTCAGGCAAGTGTTCCTTCCCTGCCTCCACTATCTTAAACCATATTCAGAAGAGCTGATTCTAATAAACAAACACTGACCGCTGTTTCGAGCTTTTCAACCTTCCTAATGCTGTGACCTTTTAAAACAATCCCTTGTGTTGTGGAGACCCCACACACACACACACACACACACACCCACCAACCATAAAATTATCTCCTTGCCACTTCCTAACTGTTTTGAATCGAGTATAAATATCTGATATGCAGGATATCTGATGTGTGACCCCCAAAGGAGTCAGGCCCCACAGATTGAGAAGCACTGACCTAGAGGCATATTTTGGGAGAGTTGCCACATGAAGCAATACCCACAAATAGTCAAGCCTCTCCCCCTCGAGTGCTAAAGCAGCTAGCGGAGTGCATTGCATAAACAAGGGACAACCAGTCCCATATCCCTCACCCCTTGGATGCATGGCCCTCTCTGTCACAGCTATTAGGTTGCAGAGTGTCTAACAAGAACGGAACGTCATCCCCTGCCAGTTGTCCTTACCGCTCCATATGATGCAGATTCTCTGGACAGGGAAATATGACCCCATCCGTTTCAGACTTATGGTCCTTGTTTCCAACACTACGGCAAAGCCACAGGGTGAGAGAGCGTGGAGACCATCCTAAAGTCTTTTGGAAAAATCATGTGATTCCAAGCAACCCTTGAGCGTTAGAAATAAAACACAGGTTTGACTATCATAATACTCTAGGATGGGCAGGACAGGCAAAATTAATTGCCTCTGACCTGCTTCATATTTTCTTATTTGAATTGGTTTAACAGAAATATTTTCCAAGACTATTTCAAGGCAAATAGGAGCCAAGCCTGGTAGCGCACACCTTTGATCCCAGCACTTGGGAAGCAGAGGTAGGCTGATCTCTGTGAGATCCAGGACAGCCAGGGCTATAGAGAGAGACCACGTCTTGAAAAACAAACAAACAAAACAGCATCAAATTAAGTAGGAATATATGTATTCAAATACTCAGACCTATAATGAAACTTTTTTTTATGAGCATTGAATTCAGTCTAAGTGTTCATTCATTCTTCCATTACTAGCAAAAAGGCATTTAAAGGAGGCCAATTTCTGCCAGTCTCAATTTATTTAAATGCTGCAGTCCAGTAATTTGTAATAACTCATGTAGATTCTGGCTAAAAGCACATTGATTCATGCTTCTCCCTTGGTTTGGTTTTCTTTTTTTTTTTTTCCCTTTTTTTTTTTTTTTTTTTTTTTTTTTTTTTTTTTTTGAGACAGGGTTTCTTAGTGTAACAACCCTGGCTGTCCTGGCACTGACTGTGTAGACTAATCTGGCCTCGA